GTAAGGGAGGAAACACATATCCCAGATCAAAATCCCATATTTGAGACAAGGCATCCTGACCCATTGCCCGATGGTCTGGAAGAAGAGAGAAGTACTTCTGTACCTGAGTGTTCCTGTTCGTAGCCATTAAGTCGATCTGTGGTATGCCCCACCGAAGAGTAATTGCTTGGAATACTTCTGTATGTAGCTTCCATTCTCCTGGCAGAATACTTGACCTGCTCAGGTAATCTGCCAAAATATTTTGAGGACCTGGTAGATATACTGCCTTTAATCCCTGAAGATGATTCTGTGCCAGAGACATAAGAGGAGTTAGTTCCCTCAACAGAAGCTTGCTCCGAGTACCACCTTGGTGGTTCATGTATGACGCCACTGCCCTGTTGTCTGTCTGAATCATAATCCAAGCATCTTGTATTAAGGGAAGAAACCCTTGAAGGGCCTTGAGAATAGCTCTCAACTCTTTTAAGTTTGAATGCATTTTTCTCTCCTTGTTGGACCACCTTCCCTGTTTCCAAAGAGACCCCAGATGAGCTCCCCATCCTTGTAAGCTTGCGTACGTAGTAACTATTAAACAGTTTGGTTCCTCCAACGGAAACCCCTGACTCAGATTCTTCTTGTTCTTCCACCACTTCAGCTGATTCTTTGCATACTTCATAAGAACTATTTTTTGATCCCATCTGGATAGGTCGAATTTCCTAATGGGCCCATCTTACCAGCCCTATCGTGGACATCAGGGACCCCAAGAGGCTCATATAGCTTCTGGCAGAAAGGGATTGATAGTCTTGAATATCCATAATTTTCTCGCAAATCTTTGTCATTCTTTCTGGCGAAAGAGAGAGAGTTGCTACAGCAGTATCTATTTTTGCCCCCAGGAAAATAATCTTTTGGGATGGTATCAGAGAGCTCTTCCCTAAGTTCAGCATTCATCTGTGAGCCTGTAGACCGTGAATAGCAGTTTGAGTGTGAAGTAACACTTCCTGGGCCGAAGAACCCACGATAAGAATATCGTCGAGGTAATGGAATATCTCTATCCTCTGCAACCTCAGAAAGGCAATCAGTGTAATGGGAACCTTCGAGAACGTCCTTGGAGCTTGACTGAGCCCAAAGGGAAGTCCCCTGAATTGGTAATGCTTCCCCCATATGTAAAAACGCAGAAACTTTACATGCGATGGGTGAATGGGAATCTGATAATATGCGTCCTTGAGGTCTATGGACGTCAGCCAACTCCCCTCCTTTATGTTGCCGACAATACTGGAAATGGACTCCATCCTGAATGACTTGGTCTGTAGGTAGGAGTTTAAGACCTTTAGGTCCAGAATCAGTCTCCATTTGCCTAAAGGCTTTGGAGACAGAAACACGGTTGAATAGTGGCCTTTGAACTTTTCTGCCTTCGGAACCTCCACAATAACCTCTTGTAGGGTTAGTTCCTTGATACAAGCCATCATAGCTTTATCCCTCTTGCCACGTGAGATTGCTTGAAGGTAGGTGGTGGGATACTTGAAAATTCTATGAGGTATCCTTCTTTTATAATTGACAGTACCCATGAATCGGAGACGTTTTTGATCCAGACTGGGAAGAACTTTAGGAGACGACCTCCTATCTCTAATTTGAGTATCTCGTGTACTCTCTGCCTGGACTATATGTCCTGGAGTCACGAAAGGAACGATCCTTAAATTTTTTTATTCTTCCACATACTGGATAAGGGACGCCTTTTGTCCTGAGGAAGAAAGGCTCTTCTACCATCAGCTGCCTTATGGATGGCCTCCTCCAGAACTTTGCCGAAAAGTAGATCGCCTTGAAAGGGAAGAGCACATAAAGATGCTTTTGATGCATAGTCCGCACCCCAAGCGTGTAGCCACAACGGCCGTCTGGATGCTACCGTCAGAGCCATGCATCTTGCCAAATGGAGAGGGGCCTCTAAACAAAATTCTGATGCCAAGTGGAAATCTTTCAGACTTTCAATCAGATGCTCCCTGCGAACCCCCGCTGCTATATCTTTCTCCAAATTCTGTAGCCAAACCTTTAAGGCTCTAGAAAGTGTCGTCAATGCCACTGCTGGAAGTAAAGCAGACCCCAGAGCCAGTTCTGCCTTAATTAAATCCGCATCCAACCGTTTTTCCATGGGTTTGCGTAAATAATCTACTGGAAGAGTAGTCTTTTTGGCCATATGGATAACAGCCACATCAATCTTAGGAATGGACATCCAAGCTTTAGAATCCACCTGAGAATATGGATATACCCTAGAAGCTTTACTCTTCAGAGTAGCTTTCCTCTCTGGCCTACTCCATTCTTGAGAGATTACTTCTTTGATAGCTAGAAAATGACTTTCCTGTTACTGGTCACTGAAACCAGAACCAGGACTGTCAGCTGGACAAAATATTAGTAAATAATAAATAATTAAATCAAAATTGCCATCAATATGTCGGAATATAGAGAGGGTTCATACGTAGATTCAAGTGATTAAAATAGCCTAAATGGCTCTTCTCCTGTCTAAAGGACTCTTAGACGTAAAGAATCTATTTGAGACTCAGGACTTTAATATAATCAACCATAGTATGTCCATGTCAACAGTAAAAGCGGTTGTAGAATGAGCCTTTAAATTAACTCCTGTAATCTAGATGGAAAAGACAATCAGTCAAGGAGGAACTTTGAATAGTGGCTGTATATAAAGTAACACTTGTAGCAAAGCCCGCTGTATCAAAAAAGCTACAATAAGAGTGTAGTTAAGCAATTAGCAATTAAGGATAACAGCATTTAGCTGGATACCAAGTAACATATAATAAAAGGAAAAAAGTCTACATGAAAATTCGTAGATTAATCACAAAATATGTCATAAATGATAAATCTTAAGTTAGTGGTTTCCTAAATCGCTATGGGGTACAAAGAGTATCTGTTGCCCCCTCAAATACATACAGAGCCCCTGACGAAGGTGCATCACAGCACCGAAACGCGCGTCGGGTTGAAGGAGGTTTTTCTCCTTCACTTTCACTCACTTTTTATTTTCACTTCTAGGGCACTATTTCACGATGTGTAGGTAACCAGCACTCTAAGCATGGTTCTACACATTAGCACTATTATTTCCTAATTTTTCACCTTTTCCTCCTGTCACTCCTGATATGCTATCTAGATTGGAATTATCTATTTGATTGAGGAATCTGGACTGGCTCTGTATGTATTTGAGGGGGCAACAGATACTCTTTGTACCCCATAGCGATTTAGGAAACCACTAACTTAAGATTTATCATTTATGACATATTTTGTGATTAATCTACGAATTTTCATGTAGACTTTTTTCCTTTTATTATATGTTACTTGGTATCCAGCTAAATGCTGTTATCCTTAATTGCTGATTGCTTAACTACACTCTTATTGTAGCTTTTTTGATACAGCGGGCTTTGCTACAAGTGTTACTTTATATACAGCCACTATTCAAAGTTCCTCCTTGACTGATTGTCTTTTCCATCTAGATTACAGGAGTTAATTTAAAGGCTCATTCTACAACCGCTTTTACTGTTGACATGGACATACTATGGTTGATTATATTAAAGTCCTGAGTCTCAAATAGATTCTTTACGTCTAAGAGTCCTTTAGACAGGAGAAGAGCCATTTAGGCTATTTTAATCACTTGAATCTACGTATGAACCCTCTCTATATTCCGACATATTGATGGCAATTTTGATTTAATTATTTATTATTTACTAATATTTTGTCCAGCTGACAGTCCTGGTTCTGGTTTCAGTGATCAGTAACAGGAAAGTCATTTTCTAGTACTTCCATTTTGGGGTTATGCCCCTTGACACCACTGGAGTGTCATTTAAAGGTGTGACTGACCACTAGGAGGGTGGTATATTCAAGTCTGGAATAACCACTACCTTTGGCCTAGTCAATTTCTACTACTACCTTCTTTGATAGCTGCATGAACCGGAAAGGTAGGTCTATTTGACCTAAGATCTTCAAAATACCTGTCTGATTCACGCACCTCTGCTTTATCTTCAGGGATCCTTAAAATATTTCTTAATAGTGAAATCCACTTCTCCACGGATCTAGAATCCAGCGATCTTGATGAATGATCTATCTCCTCCTCTTCTTCGTCAGAGAAAAACCGGACATCAGAGTTATCTTCAGATTCAGAAGACCCGGACTCTTGTCTGGAGCGCTTTGCTTGCTGGCCCTTCCCAGAAGAGGATCTAATTCCTTCCGCTATAGCCTGAGAGATCCACTGTTTAAGCTCTTCCTGAGGCGAATCCTTTCTGCTGCTCTCTCTGGCCACTTCCATCAAACAGGACCTGCACAGCTTCTTTTCCTCCATAGCCATCCCATTACAATTTAAGCATCTCTTTGTCTTGTCCTTATGCTTCTTAGGAGAGGATTCCAGCGATATGATGGGGCTGAAATGATATAAAGGCTATATATATATATATATATATATATATATATATATATATATATTACTGGCCCCTTGGCACTCTTTTTGTTCCCCTTAATAGAAAAAAAAATACTAATCTTGGCTCACCTACTTCTTCTATCAGAATGTCTGGGGGAGAAGCCATAGCTATAAGAAAAGAAGGAAGAATTTTTAAAGAAGATAAAAAACAAGACTGCTAAGAAAAAGAATATTAGAAATCATTTTACCTTCTCAGAAGTAATTTGATCCTGGCAGCACAATTCACACAGAAAACGCCAAAGCAACAAGGTACAGCAGCGTCTGAATTTCGCGCCATGTACCATTAAACCCGCCGATCTGCGCATACTCGGAAACTTCAAAAAAAAAATGTTTGTTTTTTTTCAAAGCCCCTAAATTCCTTCATTGCACATGAGCGTGCCGGAACCGCCCCCAGGCACCATTTTGTGACATCAGAAGCAGAGCATTTAGTTGCTGAATAGCTGAGCTGCCAGAAGAAAAGAAACTTATACAGCACCTGCTTACAGAACAAGGATAACAGGTAAGATGTAATCCAAACTTATAAAAGTCAGCAGCCTGATAGCAGCACAAGAGAAGATTACTCAGCTAAGCTTCTCCAAAAGCCCATGCCTCCTGTGGAGAATAAGCCCACTCCACATTATAGATGGGGAACATGCATCAGGGGATTTTTAAGGTAACCGACCCCTATAAAACAGATATACTCATATGTATATATACAGCACCAAATTCAGTTTAGGGAATTAAAGAAATAAGAACTCCTGAATTGTGCCTTCCTGAAATCCAAATACATAGTCCAGAATCTTCATGTATGACAGTCTCTAAACTGCACACACCAAACTCAGTTAGTTCTGCCCGTGCAGCCTGATTACTGAGTTCTTCAGATGAAGAGAGGCTGAACTTCATCTGGTAAGCCCACGGTAAACGTGGGAGGTGGCCAAAAAATACAATTTGACTGCAGAATAAATTCCTGTTGTCCGACTGAGGACAGAAAAAAGACTGAGGGATGGAGGGAGGAGGAACCCTTTATGCCTACAGCCTCGTTAATTGTTTAATTGTTTTCTGTCCTGATCCGGCTGAGGGTGGAGCTAACCCATAAGTGATGCTGCCATGATTAGCCAGGAAAATGTGTTTTCCTTAGAGTTCTTGTAAACAAGGATGTACTGACAGCAATGTTGGCATCAGGGCAAAATTAGGACCTGTGTCTTTCAAGGGTCACACCAGGCTGAAGTTCACCCTCATTTTAATTAATTACATATTGCATTAAAAATAAGCATAAATAATGAATAGAAAATTGGAAAAAGTTTGTCTGTGTATATCTGTTATGTATTTATGGGTGAGTATTTATAGTTGAGCATGGCTAATTTTCTGCAATGTTTTATTTTTTTTTATTTTCTACGCCTATAAACCCATTATTTTAGTATATGAGTGTTTAGACAGTTGGTGTTACAGATCCACTATTGAATATATATATATATATATATATATATATATACACACACACACACACATATTGAAATATAGGCTAGCACTCACGGTCTTGTAGTTAAAAAATCATCTTTATTCGGTTATTCCATAAAAACTCAATGTTTCAGTTTCGAATAAAGATAATTTTTTAACTACAAGAGCATGAGTTCTAGCCTATATTTCAATATGTTTGTATATTTTGGCTGTGGCTTTTAGCACCCGGCATTCAATATTATGCTTTATATAGCAGGGTTTATCTGAGTGCAAGGACTGGTCTATTTTATTTTTATTTATTTTTATTTATTTTAAGTTAAGCTTGTTATTTTTAATTGGTCTAAAAAGTATCCTTTGTTGTAGATTATAAATTTTAAATTTTTTTTATCAACCCTGAAGTTTGTTACCGTTATGGTTAATTAAGGAACCAGAGTCAATGAACGGACACTGCCTTCAGAGAGAGGCAGTGTTTTATACCTGGCTAATAAGCAATATGCTTCAGGTGGACCTAGATAGACAGGAGTAGCCATAGGAAAAAGCCAGCCCCCAGTGCTGGAGACAAGGCAAGGATAAATATCAGGCTGAAACAAGAACTGAAGTGTGGCTCAGAGGCAAAACAGCAGGCCCAGTACACAGAATGATCCAGGTTCATTACCCCCTATTGTGCATTTCTGGGATGATCACGTCTGGATGTCACAGTGAGAACTGTCTCATTGAGATACTGACAAAACCTGGACTATACAGGACTGACTGGGAAAAACTGATTTAGACTGTAGATAACTGTTGTAGAGTACCGACTACCTCCTTCAGGACATTATTTGCCAGAGAACACAGACTGTCTCCTTCAGGACATTGTTTGTATCTTTTAATGGCAGGTTTGAACCTTTTTCTTTAATCACGTAGTTAAAAATGTTAGCACTTTTTTTTTTTTTTAAATACATTTTTATTAGGGATGTCAGTGAACAAGTTGAAAATATACAAAGAGTAGTATGCATCATGAGAAAATGAGCAAGTGTACAATGTAGAAAATTATACAATAATCAACATACCCAAAATATTTTTTGTGTATACTTAAACAAAGTAAAAACAAAAAGAAATTGACTTACTGATCTTAAAAAAAAATTCAAAACTCTTCCCTCTCCAGTCCATAGGAGTGCCCTAATGGAGTAGGTACACTAAGAGGAAGAGTCATACTGTTCGTGGTTTTTTGATGATCAACAGTCTAAAACATGTTTTAAAAATGCATTCAACGTATAGAGGGGAAGACAAAGCAAATAAAAAAAAAAAAAAAACATATGCATATATTCAAACCAAATATTGCCTTTGCATGTCCTCTCCAGGAATCTAGATATAACTTTATTCATGTCTCAGATATGTCACAGTGAAATCATATGTGCATGTTATTTTCTGATGTCTCTCATGTTCCTTTTCTTTTTATATTTTTCTGTGAGTAGGCATAAGCTGGTACCGACTCACTATAGACAAGCTTCAATTTGAATTTCCTTTTTATAGGTACCATTCTGCATTTGTTCTTACTCTCTACCACTCAAAGTATTTATTTAGTATGTCTCTTACATTTTTCTTACATTTAAAATTGTGCTTCTGTCTCAATGCCATGCTTATATTTTATTATGTTTGAATATTTCGTGCTTGCTTTAGCTGCTGTGGCATAGCAAGATTTCCTGTAATCATTTGCACAACAAAACTAAAGAATTATTAAAAAATTAAAAAATTTGTAAGACTTGGCATACATGTGTGTGGAGTGTATATATAATGTGTATATATTGGGAGAATGAACCAAAATGTAATTGTAACAAACAATTGTAAGTATGCCCTAACTGCATCATTTAAGAATGTACCTAGTCAATCAACGAGCTAAATATGTGCGTTGCGGGGTTATTCAGGGGTCAAGATGCGACACGCATAGCCTCTAGTCGAGAAGGCATTCAGCAACGGCTGTTGCGATGCCCTCACGAACTTTCCATACAGGGGTCCGCGCAGACAGTGTTCTGATTGGAGCGCTTGTCCGCGATGGTGCTCTGGAGGGGGGAAAAAAACGGTATATAAGGCACCCTGAGGTGATATTTGGGGCCAAGAAAAAAGAAGAAAAATCAACGGTGGAGTTGTTTTTCTTTTGTTCTCTTTACAGCAAGTTCTTTTAGTTTATTGTGAGAATAGCTATGGAGCATTTAATTGAGGAAGTTAAGAAGAGGGCATTCAGCAGTGGAGTGTCTGTTGACTGCGACCTTCCTTTCAAATGGATTTACACCCACAGGATTCTTTATTGGATATTATAAAGCCTAAAGAGGAGGAAGCTGCTAAAGGGGAAGACTCTGATGAGGAGAATCAAATGTCTGTATGTTTGAGTGACAGAAGTTTACTTCAGGGTAAAAAAGAAGAGAATTTGTAAATCAATAGTGATTTATTCCCCGTCATCCACCAGAGGGAGCAAGAAATCTAGAGCTGCAGGGAAAAGGAAGAAGAAATCATGTCAGGTTGCTAAAATGGGGCATGTACCGGTCATTAAAGTCAGTGAGCAAGCTGGCACCTTGCATACTGCTCCCACGGAGGGAATGAACAATTCGACTGGTGATTCCTGCTCTGGGGTTTCTCCTGAAGTTAAGCTGGGAGAGGCTGTGGGGGTTTTATTTCAGGCTATTCAGGATAAAGCTGGAAGTCCAGCTATGGCTTGGTTGCAAGATAGTTTAAAGTTGTAAAATTCACCTGCATCGGTTAGCTTAGTTAATTGTTCTGACAAGAGCAGTACGCCTGTTAATGAGTCTTGTTTGAAGGAAGCTTTGGCGTGCGAAGATTCACCTCTTGGTTTTCATTTATCTAATTGCATTAAAGAGAAAACATGGAATGATGAATATATCGATATTCTTTCCTTATTGCCAGCCTCCACAGAATTTTTGTTAAGACAAGAAAGAGATGATTATAGGAAACGGCCGGTACCCCGTTCCTTTAATAATTGGCTTCAGGTGTTTTTAATTTTTCCTAGTGTTTACTGTGAACGTCATCCAGATAAAGCTAGTGGACTTTTTCATCATCTAGACCAGGGGTCCTCAAACTACGGCCTGCCAGGGTCCTGGACCCAGCCCAAGCACTCAGGGCCACTTGATGGGCCCGATATCTTCAGGGACCCGCTCAGCGCTGTGGGCGTGAAAGGGAAGAGAGTCAGGCAGCCGCAGCCACGCCGACTCCCATCAGCCACAGCCACCCTCCTGCAAAAAAAGGTAAGCAATTAGCTATATGTATGTATTTCAGTATGTATATATGTGTATGTATTTCAGTATGTATGTCAGTATGTGTCTGTCTGTGTGTATGTATCTGTATATATGTGTATGTATTTTCAGTATGTGTGTGTATGTATGTTCGTGTGTATGTCTGTGTCTGTCTGTTTATGTATGTATGTGTGTGTGTATGTCATTATGTGTGTGTGTGTGTGTGTGTGTGTGTTTCAGTGTGCATAGGAATTCGTTCATATTTTTTAGTCTGGCCCCCAACAGTGTCTGAGGGACCGTGAACTGGCACCCTGTTTAAAAAGTTTGAGGACCCCTGATCTAGACGCTATATTAGAGGCTTTCAGAAATTTGCGTAGTTTGGCTTGGTTCATTTATGACGAAATATTTTGTCAGAAATTATCAGTGCATAAGAATTTGAGAAGGATGTTGGTTCTTGGGTAAGCATTATGCTACCAAGCAGGATTCCTTAGAATCAATGTAGATGGCAGACTCAGGCGAGTGGGTTGCAAATACGTCCAAAAGGTATTTGTTGATCTTTCAATGAGTCACAGTGTAAATGGCCGAATTCTTGCAGGTTCAGACATGAATGCATTAATTGTGCTGGGAGTCATCTGTCCTTTTGGTGCTTTAAGAGGCAGAGTGCTACCGCCAGGGAACAAAGAGCATGGACCCCAGTAAAAGTTCAAAAGCTGCTCCCTTATTTAAAATGCTATGCAAACCAACAGACAGCGTGGCTAATTAAAGAAGGTTTTTTAATTTGGTTTTAGAATTCCTGTTTGTAGTTCATCAGTTCAGTTGGTTGAAAATCTTAGTTTAGTTAAGTTGAATACTAGTATAGTTAGAGATAAAATTGATAGAGAAATAGCTTTAGGAAGAGTGGAAGGCCCGTTTTCAGTTCTGCCTTTTTCTTATTTTAGGATGTCTCCACGTGGTTTAGTTCCCAAGAAGGAGAAAGGTACCTATAGATTAATTCACCATCTGTCTTACCCGAAAGGTTCATCATTGAATGATGAGGTGGATACCTCAATTATTTCTGTGTCTTACACTTCCTTTGAAGATGCGCTGAAATGGGTAAGGAAGTGTGGTCATAATGCCCTTATGTCAAAGGTCGACATTAAATCAGTTTTAGGTTTTGACAAATGTATGCCTATGGGTTGTTCTGCTTCTTGTTTTTATTTTGAAAGTTTTTCAAGTTTTCTGGAATGGGTTCTTAAACAGGTTTTCGCGTTTACGTTCAGTTATTTATTATTTGGATGATTTTCTTTTTATTGGGAAAGCTGAATCTTCAGATTGCTTTCATTTACTACATATTTTCATGTCCATTGCTCAATAATTTGGCATTCCGTTGGCAAAAGAAAAGACGGTTTGGCCTGGTACATGTTTATAATTTTTAGGTATAATTATTGATTCTGAGCGAATGGAGTTTTGTTTGCCCGAAAAGAAAATTGTCGGAATGAAGCGCAAAATTTCTAATTTATTACATGTTAAGCAAACGACAGTAAGTAAATTGCAATCTCTGTTAGGTTTACTAAATTTTGCTTCAAGAATAATGCCAATGGCTAGGGCTTTTTCCAGACATATGTCAAGAGCTATAGCTGGTTTTAAAAATTTGCATCACCATGTTAGAATTTCTAGACAGATTAAGGAAGATTTACATGTTTGGAATGCCTTTTTATGCAACTTTAATGGATCCATGATTTGGAAAAGTGATTTTGTATCCATTTGGGATTTGGATATTTTCACGGATGCAGCTGGGTCTCAAGGCTTTGGTATATACTTTCATGGTAGATGGGCAGCTGCTGGTTGTCCCCAGTCATGGGTTGAGAATGGTTGGACAAGAATGATTACTCTTTTGGAGCTATTTCCGATAGTCGTAGCCCTGGATGTTTGGGGCTCTGAACAAGCTAACAGGAGGATTACTTTTCATTGTGACAACTTACGGGTGGTTTGGATAATCAATTCTCTTAGGGCAAAATGTATCCTGGTGATCAAGTTATTGAGACGTTTGGTTTTTATTTGTTTGGTAAATAATATATGGGTAAAAGCATGTAAGTGGGAAAAGTAATCGTATAGCTGATGCCTTGTCCCCTTTTGACTTCAAGTCTGTCATATCCCTTGCACCTCTAGCGGACGAAGTTGGAACGAGATTGCCAGAACACATCTGGGAGCTAACCTCACCCAGATAAGCCAATTGCTGGATTTATCGTTATCTACAACCACTTGGGGAGCATACTTGAATGCGTGTGAAGAATGGCAGCAGTTTATGGTTAATTTAAATAGGGACTCTACCGATCCCACTATACAGGATGCAATTCAATGTGTGGTTAAAAAAATTCAGGCTGGTGCATCCAAGTTTTCATTTAAAAGAGCCCTATTAGGCATTTCCTTTTTCCTTAAGGTATTGGGGAAGAAGTCTGTTTTTAAAGAATTCATTATTCAGCAAATGTTAAAATGGGCCTGGTTAAAGAAAGCATCAGTCCAAGATAACAGGTCCCCTATCTCTTTTCAATTATTGGGTGATTTGGTAAATAATTTGAGCTCTGTTTGTAGAAATACATTTGAGATCCAGCTTTTTACCACTGCTTTTATTTTAGCATTTTTTTGGAGCTTTTAGAATCAGAGAATTAGTTTTTGCTAACAAGTCTTGCCATTCAGGCATTCAATGTAAGGACGTACAATTACAAGATGGGTTTTGAAATTTTTTATTAAGAAAATCAAAAACTGACCAGCAAGGGAAAGGTCAATGGGTTCAGTTACGAGCTATACATCATTCGTTATGCCCAGTTAAAGCAGTCAGGGTTTATTTAAGTATTTGTCCAAAATGTCAAGGTAGTCTTTTAATACACCAGTCAGGGGTCCCTCTTTCTTCAGTTAACTCTGGTGAGTTATGTGTTAAATCTCTGGGGGTTTAAAGAACGGAGATGTTTGGTTACAAATTACGTGTTTTAAAGTAAATAAGTTACGTTTGGATAATTTGTAAACTAAATAAAAGACCACGGCCTTTTCAGCACACATCTGAGTCTGTGTTTTATTATGTTTCTGTGCCTTACTATGCTATGCATTACTTGCTGTTATGTGTCAGTCTGAATTAACCACAGATTAAGAGCCCAGTGGGCCTGGTGCTGACAATTATGACGGGCCTAATTACAGAATCATATCGACCAAAAACAGTAAAACACTCCCAAGCGTCATGTATCTGATGGAGATGGTACTGGAGAGAAAGAAAACAGCAGCTATAAGAAAACACATACCCTAGGCCATGGGTCGTCAACCTGGTCCCTACCGCCCACTAGTGGGCGTTTTAGGATTCCAGGTGGGCGGTAGGGATTTCTGAGGCTAAATCCTCTTTTTAAGAGGATTTCTCCTTTTGGGCGGGCGCGAGCGGCTCTGCATGCGCAAGTCTTCAGTGACCGGCAGGAGGAAGCGCTCCCTCCTGCCAGGCCACCTTCTGGACCCCCCGGCATGGCAGCGTTCTAATCAGTCGCGGCGAGGGAGCTCTAACCTCTCTGCTCTGCTCCCTCGCGCGATGTTTGCTGATGCCGCGGGAGCCGGAATATGATGTCATATTCCGGCTCCCGGCATCCGTAGACAGTCCGCGAGGGAGCAGAGCAGAGAGGTTAGAGCTCCCTCGCTGCGTCTGATTAGCCGCCCGCCTAAGTGAAGCCCCACTGGACCCCAGGGACAGATCCACACCAGCTCTCCAGGTAGGGAGGCTGGGTGGATATTTAATATTAATAATTTGTGTGTACATGTGTTTGTCTCTAAGTGTATGTGTGTGTGTCTCTAAGTGTATGTGTGTGTGTCTGTAAGTGTATGTGTGTGTGTCTGTAAGTGTATGTGTGTGTGTCTGTAAGTGTATGTGTGTGTCTGTGTCTGTAAGTGTATGTGTGTGTCTGTGTCTGTAAGTGTATGTGTGTGTCTGTGTCTGTAAGTGTATGTGTCTGTCTGTAAGTGTATGTGTCTGTCTGTAAGTGTATGTGTGTGTGTGTCTGTAAGTGTATGTGTGTGTGTCTGTAAGTGTATGTGTGTGTGTCTGTATGTGTATGTGTGTGTGTGTGTGTGTGTGTGTGTCTGTAAGTATATGTGTCTGTGTCTGTAAGTGTATGTGTCTGTGTCTGTAAGTGTATGTGTGTCTGTGGGTCTGTCTGTGTATGTGTGAGTGTCTGTAAGTGCATGTGTGAGTATGTGTATATTTGTGTGTATGTGTTTCTATGTGAGTGTGTGTGTGTGTGTGTGTATGTGTTTGTCTGTGAGCAGAGTACTTGTAGAATAGAAGAAAGAAGGTGCAGAGTACTTGTAGAATAGAAGAAAGAAGGTGCAGAGTACTTGTAGAATAGGAGAAAGAAGGAGTAGAGTACTTCTAGTATAGGGGAAAGAAGGAGTAGAGTACTTCTAGTATAGAGGAAAGAAGGAGTAGAGTACTTGTAAAAAAGGAGAAGGAAAGAAAAGGAAAAGGAGAGAATTGTTGTTGACTAATAATAGTAAGTGGGCTACCTAGCTCAGCCTTCCTATTGGCCATTGCTATAAGGAAGGTTAAAAAATAGAAAAAAGGGGAAAAAGGTGGGAAGGGGAATTGAGGAGGGAGAGGAGGGGAGCTGACGCACAGATGAGAAATCATTTTATGAGCAAACAAAGAAGTCTTCCGATTATCACTGAAAGAGGAGACCTTCGTTTGTTCCTTATGAAAATCGAACCAGATATCAAATATTTAGTCTCGCAGCATCAACCTCTAGTAAAGGTAAGTTCAATTTACTTTATTGCTTCCTCATTAAACTTTATAAAGTTAAAAACATTATAAACATGCATAAAGTAGAAATAAAAAGATAAATGTACGTTCATTTATGTATTTTTTAAAACACCCTCCTTTCTAAAAAATATTCCGCGCTTGCGCGAAAACTGGTGGGCGGTAAGGAAATTTTTCCATCAAGAAAGATGCATTAGTGGGCGGTAAGTGGAAAAAGGTTGACTACCACTGCCCTAGGCTAATCTCTCACTAATTTATGTTTTCATCTTTCAAGTAAATCCATAACCCCTAACAGCAGTGTCCAGTCAAGCAAGAAGTCAATGGGCACGGTAAAAGTGTGTGCCACTGACACAAATCACGTAACCTGCCAAAAGGGGAGAACATGCCCAAAAAGAGGATATGTCTGCCCAAAGTTTGATTCTGCTGTATAGATGGATTCCTCCCAGTGGCCCCATGTCTCCTAGTGCCCCCATGTGTCGATTACTCCAGGTCTCAGTGTTCCTATGTATCAGTGTCTCAGTGCCCCATGTCTCCCAGTGTCCCCTAGTGTCGTGTCCCAAGGTCTCCCAGTGATCCTATGTATCACAGTGTCTTAATGCCCCATGTCTCCCTGTGTCCCCATGTATCCCAGGGTCCCCATGTCACTAGGAAGACGGAAAGACCTGGGGACACGGGGAGACCTAGGGACACGGAGACACTGGGAGACTAGGGGACTCGGGCTGGGATGCATGGGGACACTGGGAATATAGGGGACACAGACACCAGGGACCACCAGGGACACAGACACCACTGTGTCTCCCAATGTCCCTTAGTGTCTCAGTGTCCCCATGTCTCCTTGCAGCCTTTCCCCCATCCCTTACTTCCCTGAGCTGTAGCCTGTCTCTGCATGGTGGGAGTTGCTGTCTGGACTCTCTGTAGCTGCACCCCTGCTGATCAGTGAGTATAGATAGGCAGGGAGGGATATGCTGGAACTTCCTATCCCTGCCTGTCTCCACACACAGTCAGTGGCGTCTCTAGGATTCATTTTTCGGGGGGGCACATGGAGGGCCAGTGACAAAAGTAGGGGGGCACATTTAACCCCGCCCTCACCGCAGTTTGACCCCGCCCCTGTCACATGTTAAGCCACGCCCCCGACACAATGTGTTTTGTTTTTTTAATAATACCTGGTGGAGGAATCATGATTTTCCACCAGGGATTATTAAAAAAACAAACACATTATCCTTGATACAGTGCCATAGTTGCCAACATTTGAAAAATAATTTCCAAGGACATTTTGCAGCACAGCTATCAATTACTGTCTGGGTATAATATCCCTGGACAGTCAGTGCTCTCTGTATAATATAGGGTTGTGTGTATAATAAATTGGGACACTCAGTGCTCCCTGTATAGTGCTGCTCTCTGTATAATCCCAAGACAGAGAGCAGCACTATACAGGAAGCACTGACTATCCCGGGATATTTTATACACACAGATCTGTATTATACAGATAGCTGAGCATATACCCCAATCTCTAGACTACTAGTACCTGTCAACAGCAGCTCCCAGACGCGTGTAACAGGGCTAAAGTGTGCGGCAGCTCACACAGATTATTCAGCGGTAAAGTGCACTCGCTGGCAGAGCCAAACTGGGAATCCCTGGGAATCCAAAGCAGCCCTGGAAAAAAAAGTATGCCATTCCTACAAGTCAAAATATATATATATATATATATATATATATATATATAGTACAGTAAGCACACAAGCTCACTGACATGCGCAAACAGGCTTACTGACAGACAAAACTCCCTGACTCACACACAAGCTTACTACAGACACTCACTTGTATAAACAGAAGGCTCACTACAAAGAAGTTCAGGGACACACACACAAGCTCACTAAAGACAAGCTCACTGACACACACACATGCTCACTAAATAGAAGCTCACTGACACACACAAGCAGTACCATTTTAACAGAGTTAAGGGCCCCTGGGCAAAGCAATACACTGGGGCCCTTCCTACACAACAACTCACAGGAATTTTAATTATTGATAGACTGTGGAGTCCATACACACACACAGACTGCTGAGTCCATACACACACACACAGACTGCTGAGTCCATACACACACACACACAGACCGCTGAGTCCATACAAACACAGACACATAGACTGCTGAGTCCACACACACACACAGACTGCTGAGTCCATACACACACAGACTCATGATCCACACACACACTCACAGGATCAAGCTGGAGTCCATACAATACCACACACACACACACACACAGATTGCCATCCATACACACACACACACAGACTCTGCTGAGTCCATACGCACACACAGACTCTGCTGAGTCCATACACACACACACTCTGCTGAGTCCATACACACACACACACTCTGCTGAGTCCATACACAAACAGACTGCTGAGTCCATACACACACAGCGACTCTGCTGAGCCCGTACACACAGACTGCTGAGTCCGTACACACACAGACTGCTGAGTCCATACACACACACAGACTGCTGAGTCCATACACACACACACACACACACAGCTGAGTCCATACACACACACACACACACAGACTGCCGAGTCCATACACACTAACAGACTGCTGAGTAAATACATACACACACACAGAC